AAAACGCCAACGTTCACCTCGCCCGCTCTTGCATCCGTGTTGCATTGGATTACGCGCGCACACGCGCGCGCGGGCGTTACATTCGCATCACGTTTTGCGTTACGTCGGCATTACGTCGGCATTGTGCTCCGCGCCGAGGTGAGGAGGTGGGTCGTGGTATGTTCGCGTTGCATTACGTCGGTGTCGTATTCTCGTCGTTACATTGACGTTGACTCGCGCACGAACTCACCACACGCGCAACTCAGTCCGCTGATCGAACGTAGCGAGTGCAGATACGTTCGCATTGCATTGAGGGCCAATTCTTTCACTGAGAACACATTATTTTTGTATTTGAAAATAAAATATTTGGCATATGCGACTTGCCATTACCATGTCTTTGTCAAAACAAAAGTATAGTACACCGAATCAAAATTTGGTTAAAATGGGATCAATCGAATGTTTGGTAACTGCAACTAAATTTTTCATTGCCGCAAAACGTGCGTTTCCCAATAATATACGTACTTGACACAAGTGAAAATATGGTAACGACAACAAAATCATAATGTATCAAATATTTTAAATACAAAGCCAATTTTATCAATCTAATTCAAAATTTGACGAACTTTCGTAAGCCTCTGGCACTCTCTGAATTTTTTGGGGTTTCACTTGAGAAGTAGAATAACAGCCGAGTTGGAAAAATTTTTCATTTATATGTGAATTCTTCACTTCGTATCGTCAAATAAATATTTTTGTTAGACATTGAAGGGTAAAGTAAAAAGGTAAGAGTTTACTTTTCTTCTTTTAAGTAATAATGATCTTCAACAAAAAAATATTTTCTTGATATAATAGTCTTAAAATATACTTATCACGAATTTCAATAAAGTTCATTATCATATATTTAAAAAGAAAATTTGTTCATTTTATTATAAAACTCTATTTAAAAAAAGTTTATTCGTCTCTGTGTAGTAAGCAAACGCGGAATTTTTACTTTAATTTAATATTCTTTATTAAAATATCAAACTTATTAGAATACAGAATGCATTTTGAACAAATTTAACGATTAATTTATGATGAATTTATGGATATATAAACTTACGGATCTCTCTCTCTCTCTCTCTCTCTCTAAGGAAAAATACCTGAAACCAACAATATTTCCTCTTGAATATGATATTTTTCTGTATGTACACCTATTAATGCAAGATCACTTCAATCGTCTATAACAATCAGTAAAAATTTGAAGCGTTTGTAAAAATTGTGCAATTTGCGAGTGACATAACGATTCGATCGAATCGTCATTGTTATGGCGACGCTACTACGCAATATGTACAACGGATTTATCTCCTCGCGATCTTTAATTATTCGTCGATGATGATGAATAATTTTTTGCGCTAAGCTGTCATTACGATAAATAGCTGTTTGGCGAAGACGAGTAAAAAATTCTCATAAAATTCGAGTTTCTTTTATCCATGTGCGTGTGTGTGTATGTATGTATGTATGTATATGCGTGTGAGATTCCTGGTTTCGTGCCAAGGAATATTGATTGTGTCCGTGTGAGAAATGACATGCCGGCGTGCGAACAAGTGACGTTTATTCTTATTAAAAGAAGTCGTTTCATTTAGCGACGCAACGACGGAGCTAATTTACGTAAATGTTAGCGTAAACAGTGCGTGTGAAAGTAGTTCTCTACGTTTGCATGAACGGAGGAAATTGACTTAATGAACGTATACATGCGTTAAATGCAACGTGAGAGATCATTTGGTAACGTTGGTATCGGTTCTGTGACGTACAAATAAATCGCTGCTCTGTCAAGAGATCATGTGTATCTTACGAGGCAGAAATGAGAAGTGGCAGCGAGAGAGAGAGCGAGAGAGAGAGAGAGAGAGAGAGAGAGAGAGAGAGAGAGAGAGAGAGAGAG